TATGATCACATTTTAAATTCACGATTGCAGATCTCAGCTGAACACTGAATGGTTCCATTTATTCAGTCCTTAATCATGAGCTAAGCTCTAAGGCATAGTGGAATGTTGAGATTTAACTCTTGACAGTGGTAAATATGAGAGCCCATTTTCATCTAGACATGAAAGGGTGAACTCATGCTGTACCTCTAACTTATCCTTCCTTCTTACTTCCCTCCCTCCCTCCTGTTCTTCCTCCCTCCCTTTGTGCACTCAGGACCTTGAGCCTGATCTGCTTGCTAGTGAGCCACACCACTAGTCCAACTTTTTGCTGGTTATTTTGGAGATGGAGTCTCAAGGACTTTTCTGTCTGTACTGGCCTTGAACTGTAGTCCTGATCTTAGCCTCCTGGGTAGCCATAGGAGTGAGTTACCAGTACTCTGCTGCTGCTGCTGCTGCTGCGCCTCCTCCTCCTCCTCTTCCTTCTTTTCCTTCTCTTCCTCCTTTTAAAAATTCTAATGGTTGGGGCTGGGAAGGTGGCTCAGTGGTAGAGTGCTTGCCTTGAATGCATGAGGCCCTGGATTCGATTCCTCGGCACCACATAAGCAGAGAAAAAAAGCCAGAAGTGGTGCTGTGGCTCAAGTGGTAGAGCACTAACCTTGAGCTCAATTGCTGAGGGACCCAGACCCAGAGTTCAAGCCCATGACCAACCCCCCCCAAAAAAAATTCTGATTATTTTTTATTTTAATGTAATGTAATTATTTTTTGTTTATGTGGTACCAAGGAATCGAACCCAGGGCCTCATGCATGCTAGGCAAGCACTCTACCACTGAGCCACACTCCCAGCCCCAGCACTCAGCTTCTAAAGTATACTTTTTTTTTTTTTTTTAAGGATTTAGGACTTAACTTGATGTGCTTCAAGAGGGACACCACCAACTATCTACTTTTATCATCATCATCATCATCATCATCCATGTTTTTCTCACTTTGTTTTTCTCACTAATTCCTTTTTAATTGTCTTTATGCTTTATAATTATAGTCACTTTTAATTGCCTTTTTATTTTTTTGTGTCAGTCGTGGGACTTGGACTCTGGGCCTGAGTGCTGTCCCTCAGCTCTTCAGCTGAAGGCAAGTGCCCTATCACTTGAGCCACAGAGCCATTTCTGGTGGTTTATTGGAGTCTCTGGTGGTTTATTGGAGTCTCTGGTGGTTTATTGGAGTCTCACGGACTTGCCTGCCCGGGCTGGCTTTGAACCATGATCCTCAAATTTCAGCCTCTTGAGTAGCTAGGATTACAGGCGTGAGCCACCAGCGCCCAGCTCAATTGCCTTTCTATGGAGATCTTCATTAGAAACTTTTCTCAGTGCTTCCCTTTAGCCACAGTCTTTAAAACTCCACAATATTCCACCTAGTTGGTTTATGTCTCTAATGCTGGACAGAAAGTTTATTTCCATCTATATACTTTTTGGAGAATGTTGCAAAATGACTGCTTTAAGTAACCTTTTCAGGCTTGTCCTAGGTTAGTTTCTTGGGGTAGATTCTCAAGGATGGGTTTCATTTATTCAGGACATTTTAAGTGATTGTTTTATGCACAGCGAGGTCAGAGGCTTGACCATTGAAACAATACTTGATATGCCTTGGCTTCCTTGCCACTGTGCTAGAGCTCCTTAACCGGTCTAATCAGCTCTGGCACATGCTTCCTCAGTTCTTATCTGCTGAGTGTTTACAAGCGAGATGGAAAAGCTTAACAAGGAAGATGCTGTGAAGAATTGACATGTATCTAGAACTATTTTCTTTTTTTTAATTAATTAATTTATTTTTTATGTGTGAACATACTGTACAGAGGGGTTACAATTACATGGGCAGGATAATGCGTACATTTCTTACCAAGCATTGCAGCCTCCTCCTTTGGTTTACCCTTCACCTCCCTTCCCAGCCTCCCCCCTAGAACTATTTTCTTCTTACACAACTTGGCCTTTTTTTTTTTTTTTTGGATATGATAGCTGAGAGACGAGACTGATCTGAGCAGAGGAAAGGACCTCGATTCATCTAAATCGCCTAGAAAACTTTGAACTGAAATTTGGTTAAAGTAAAATCACAATACATAGCAGTTTTATTGACATATCCAAATATGTTTTGTGAGTAATCGTTGAATGCTTTGCATGTATTAGGAACACAATTGTTGTACGTTCTTGACTAGTCTCTGATGAGTGGGGAGAGATGAGTGGGTAAGCAGATGGTGGCTATAGCAAATGTGTGTGTGTGTGTGTGTCCTAAAGTGCAGAGAAGTTTGCCTCTCTCTACCCAGTTTGCTTACTTTAGAAAGGCCATCTTGTTTTTTCTTTTGTGGTTTAATTTTTGGTCTTGAGAAAGGAGGAAAAAAATGCCCGAGAGTACTTTCACTGGGATGAAAACTTCAGTCAGTTTTTAAAATACCTGTATTGTGTAGTGAAGATTCAGAATTGATAAAGGACCTTGCAGTTGTGTATGGCTAGGTAGGTAAAGAGAAATCTTAGGTGGATGGTTATTGGAAAAGTCTCTGGTTTCTTCATCAACAGGAATTTTAATTGTCATTAGACGACACAAAAAATAATAGAACTGGGCTGGGAAGGTGGCTCAGTGGTAGAGCGCTTGCCTTGTATGCCTGAGGCCCTGGGTTCGATTCTCCCCAGCACCACATAAGGAAAAAAGCCGGAAGTGGCACTGTGGCTCAAGTGGTACAGCGCTAGCCTTGAGCTGAAGAGCTAAGGGACAGCACCCAGGCCCAGAGTTCAGGCCCCACGACCGGACCCCCCAAAAAAAATAATAGAACTATGGTACAGAAACATGTTCTTACATGATTCCCCCCCATGTCATTCAAGCTAAAAGGACAGTAAAGCTGCTCACTCTCCTCTTACAAACAGGGGATCCTCAGAGCCAAGGTTCTGTTTAACTTCTCTTGGTTACTAACTTGACATGGGTGCTTCTGCTTCTCTGTGTGTATTTGGGAGGAGGGACAGCACATGCTTTGTAGGAATGCCAAGTCCTCCATGCCATTCTGTGCGCATCTTAGTCTCCCTATGTACAGCATGGGCTGACGGTGTCCCTACTTTCTTTCTAAAATGCTCTTCTTTCTGAGCCCCTGGCACTCCAGTCTCTTGTTTTTCCTTCTACATTTTTCTCTTCTTGCTCTTTTCTAAATGTTGGGTGCCCAAGGGCCCTTTACTTTGTTGTTGTTGGTCGTGGGGTCTGAACTCTGGTCCTGGGCGCTGTCCCTCAGCTCTTCCTTCAGCTCAAGGCTAGCGCTCTACCACTTTGAGCCACAGTGTCACTTCTGGCCTTTTCTGCTTATGTGGTGCTGAGGAATCAAACCCAGGGCCTCATGCATGCAAGGCAAGCACTGTACTACTGAGCCACCTTCTCAGCCCAACCTTTATGTTTTTCTGTTAACTCCTTTCCAAAGTGATCCTTAACTCCCAAGGCATTAAGTATCCCCTGTATGCTCATGAGTCTTTACACATCTCTAGTCCTGACCTGTCCAGCTTAGAAGTCTGGACCCTTAAGTTGAGTTGCCTTTTGGCTCTTGTTCTTTGAACACATCCTTGATTGAACCTCTGAGTCTTCCCACCAAACAAGCAAGCACAAAAAGAATTTTACTTTCCTAGTCATCTCCATGTTTCCTAAGTGGCCTTAAGTGATGACTTATTCTTAATTCTTTGCTTTCCTTTACCCCAAATATGCAAGCTAGCAGCAAGTACTACCACCAGAATCAATGTCTGTCTGTCTGTCTTCTTTCCCATTCTAACTATTGGAGTGATACAAAAATCAGATGATGTCACTTCCCTGTTTAAGATCCACTAATTACTTCCTGTTGTACTTAAAATAGGATCTCCTTCCATAGTTTATATACCAAGGCTCAATTTCCATAGTTGAGAAGCTGAAATAGTGTGACTTTACCCAGACTTTTAATATCCATAAAGGGTATGAATTTTTTTATTGATTATTGTACACTGTGATTTTCTCAATTCCTAGTGTATACATAGTAAGTACTTAGTAAAAACTTACTGGACAAATAAATACATGTATCTAGAATGACTTAGTAAATACTTACTGGATGAATAAATACATGTATCTAGAATGAGGCCCCAAAGTTTTTCTTTCAAAGTAGCATATTGCACTTCATTATTTAGTAGAAAGTCCAGCAAAGAATTCTGGGGCAGTATTTTCTTGCCTTTTTCTTTTTTCCTTCTCTTCACATACTCTCCACTGCCCTTCCTATTTTCTTCTTATCCTGTGATATGTGTAGGTCACTTAAGAGTAGATAGGTGAGTATGTAGGACCAGAAACTGCATGGAAATTGCAAAGGAACCCTGAGAATAATGGAACATCTTACTGTAGAAATCTGTGATATACAGAAGTAGTAGATAGAGTGTCTCCTCCTTGCTTTATCACCCTGTCCCAACACTTAATCACTTCATAGAGTCTTTGAACAACCAACATTTAATTTGGATATTACTGAAGCAAAAGAATACCTAGTTTATAGAGGTTCTAAACACATACACGTCCTACCCTGGCCCTCATTACTATTTGTAAATCAACTGAGGACAGATGAAGTGTGATTTTTAAGTATGATACATTTCCTGCACCATATTTTATGAGTGCCTGAAATTTACCCTGAGTTCAGTCATAAATCAGCAAATTGTGAATAAGCTGAGAAAGGAAATACTTGTAGACCATTAGCAGTTATTTATATCATACTTAGTTAATTGGATACATGCTTACTTGACTGGTAAGTAACCAGGAGAGGGCGAGTAGGCTTTGATGGCACGTATAAAGTCATGGGGACCTGTGGGTGGGGTGGCCAAGGAAGGACAAGAGGTAGAAAGGTACTGTTCTGTACCTCCTGCTTTGCCTTCAACCGGTCGCAGCCTCAGAGCCTGTGGAAGGAGGTAGCTGGGCTCCTGTTCTGTCCTCTGCGGAGGACCCAGTGTACAGCCACCCAGAAGGTACTTCCGGCTAACTCTCTGCTGCTTGTTTATTTTTAGGTATCTTGCAATATATTCAGAACTCTCCCTCCTAGTGACAGCAATGAATTTGATCCTGAAGAAGATGAACCTACCCTTGAGGCATCATGGCCACACCTACAGGTACTTTGCCTTGCCCTTTCTGATGAGAGAAGAGCTGTTAGCTTGTCCATTGATTAGCTTGGGAATTCCTTGAAGAAAATTTTTTCACCAAGAAGGCAGAATACATTAGTGGAGAGCTGAAGAATGCCTTTTGTGTTTTTTATTCTTCATAATTAGGCTGCCAAAAGAAGAATTAAGTTGGATTGCAATGCTTTTATATGCCTCACCCCTGTGTTACAGGTCCAGCCAGCAGTGTAGCCCAGTGGGGTTTAGAATAAGCACAGAATTGTTTTCTCATTAATACTGGGTGGATGTGATTGTTCACAGAATACAAATCTCCGTTTTAGCAGTAAGCACCCTCAGTACTTTGCATGTCTTTATGATTATCACAGTTACGTTTCTTTGTCTTTTAAGGGAAAAATCAAACTTCAGTTGCTATTTGCTTTTAGTAGTGTAAGAAAGAAAAGCAACTTAGAGAAAGCTTGAGTGAAGTCCTGTTCTCTTGGGTAGAGAAGGCCATGCTGTCTCGTCCTGGTCATGTGGCAGAAGGGGTGAGGGCTGTCAATTTCCTTTCCAGTACCAGGCCCATCTGTGTTGTATTTACTTATTATACTTGGTCATTTTCCAGCTCCTTCTTTCTCTACTGCCCTCAAGACCAAGGTTTCTAAGGGGGGAGGTTGAGAGGAAGGACAAGCGAGAAGAGCAAGATAGAGACAGAGAGAGCAATCACAGACAGACTGCCCAGCCCCGAGCTCAAGCCCCAGGACAGACACCCCCCCCCCAAAAAAAAAAACACACTAAAAATAAAAATAGATCCCTAAAGCTGCCTTTCCATTGAGTCAGCATGCTCTCAAAGGGTGGATCACAAGTAATAGCAAAGAAGGGAGGATGGATCAGAAAGAATATAATTTTGTCCATCTTCCAAGCCACCCCTGCACAGAAGCTGCTGTACCTTTGTAGAGCGTGCTTGTGGTTTCTTACTAGTTAACATTTCAAAGAGCAAAGAACCATGAAGCAGGCTGATAAAGATGTAGAACGTGCTCTTCACAACTTATCTTTTCCCCATTCTATTTTCCTTGATAAAAGTTGCACGTTGGCCCATCCTGCTTTGGTAGCTACAGGTACACATATGCTATTTCTCCTTGTCATCTGAGAGCTATCCAAGGCTGCTTTCTCAGCTCTTCCTCAAACATAAGCTACTAATGCCAAGAGTGGGTGGATCCAATGAGTTAAGACACTAGTTGCGGAGCTAAGCACTAGTGGCTCACGCCTGTAATCCTAGCTACTCAGGAGGCTGAGATCTGAGGATCATGGTTCAAAGCCTGTCCAGGCAGGAATGTCCATGAGATTCTAGTAACGAACTATAGAAATGATCCTGTAAGTATAGTCTTATGAGATTCTAATCTCCAATTAACTACCAGAAAACTGGAAATGGTGCTGTGGCTCAAGTGGTAGAGCACTTGTCTTGAGCTGAAGAGCTCAGGGACAATGCCCAGGCCCAGAGTTCAAGCCCCAAGCCCTACAAAAACAAAACAAAATAAAAACACTAGTTGGTTGACTGTCTTAGGTTCTGTCTGTCTGTCTGTCTAGACTCAGGTCCTTGCACTCAAATGCTCTTCCACCAAGCTAACTAACACCCCCACCCCCTTTTGTTCTTTCTTTCTTTTCTTTCTTTTTTAAAATACACATTATCTATAGTCTAAAGAATTTGTAAAGTTATTTTGTGTCTTCATAAGTATACTCCCAGATTGTGACAAAACCCCAAAAAAGACTCTTGAGTGACGAACTTCTCATCATGTCTTATTCTTAATGCTTGGCACCAGTCTGTTGAATTTGTTTAGTTTGAAAGAAAAAAGCTTAAAAAACAAAAAGACAGTCTCCTCAGGACATCTTATGGTAGAAAAGATCAAGAAAGAGAGAGATGTCTTTAAATCTTAAACTTACTGTCTTCTCTGTCTCCTCCCACAAAAAAAATTCTAGGCAATGCTTGCCATTTGTAAAAGCCTTGTGAATACTCTAAATCATGATAATCGTATACATCAAAGCTCAGCTCAGTATTTCAGTTAATCCTTCTTGACCTAATGACTCTATAAAAGAAGGGGCCAAATTAATTTCTAGAGCTGTTAACCAAATTCTTCCTCCATAAAAACCTTTAGCTAACACTCTCATTACTGTAGGAGTATTAACTGTTATTCCTCTGAAGCCCTAACATCTGAGCACCATGAAGGATGGTGCTGAGACCTTCACAAATGCAAAGTGTTGTGTTTTCATTTGTGTTGTCCTCCTCTTCAAGCCTGTAATCTTTCTGGTCCTGTGCATTCTTTAAGATTTGATGCCCAGACTGGGCACGGTTGACATGCCTGTAACCCTAACACTTGGAAGGCTGTGGCAGATGGGTCACAGTTTCCTATAGAGCTACATATTATCTGAAAAACAAACAAAACACCATACAAAAAGACTCTAAATCAGCATCCATTTAGGTCCTAAGGTGTACACTGTTGTCTTTATTTTGCTGTGTCTCAAGAAGCCTACTTGTACAAATGAACCCCCCTTTCCCTTTTTACTAGGTGGTTTTAGCTGTTAAGAGCACTCATTAAACATTAAAACTCTTCTGTTCATTGTATTATATCAGTTGCCACCTAACTCAATATTTTGCCTTTTGCTTTTGGTGGGCTCAAACCCAGGACCTTGCACATGGTAGCTCAGCACTCTACCACTGAGCTACATCTTCAGCTCTTAGTTTCTTGAGATAGGATGTCCCTATATTGTTCAGGCTCACCTTGAACTTGAGATCCTCTTCCTCCTGAATGCTTGTATTATAGTTGTGTGTCACTATGCTAGGGTAATACTTAATGTCTTAATTGGTCTAACAATATATTTTTCTGACTAAAACCTAGCATGGTGTTAGATACCTTTACTTTTTCTTAACTCCATAATTAGCTATGTACTTCCTTTTCTGGACTACCCTTTACAAAAAAGTTAAGTGTAAATATCTGAGAAGAGCAGAGAATGACAAAATTACATTGTGATGTGGTTATTGGGTGTCTGGCCAGGTTCATGGTCTAGCTAATTGACTGCTCCTGCATGCTTCTTCTTTTGTTTAAATTTGTGGATCACACAAAATTACTGATTATACAAATAATGGATCTTTGGAAATATCTAAAAGACAAAATAATATTAAGTCCATCTCCCTTCCACCCCTACCCTCCCCCTTTTTGTTCAAATGTTAAGAAGTCTTGAGTGGGGATGTAGCTCAGTGGCAGAGCACTTGCCTAGTAAGTGCAACATCCAGGGTTTGATCCCCAGTACCAAAAAAAGAAAAAACAAACAAACAAAAAACCCCTTTAGCTGGGTGGCAGAGGCTCATGCCTGTAAGCCTAGCTACTCAGGAGGCTGAGATCTAAGGATAGTGGTTCACAGCCAGTCTGGGCAGGAAGGTCTGTGGTGAGACTCTTATCTTTAATTAACCACTAGAAAACTGGAAGTGGCCCTGTGGCTCAAGTGATAGAGCACTTGACTTGAGTTGAAGAGCTCAGGCACAGTGCCCAGGCCAGAGTTCAAGCCCCATGACTGACCAAAAAAAAAAAAGTCTTTTTTGTGTATGTTATTTTATTTTTTCTCTGGTGTCTTTTGAACTGGAATCACATAGTTACCATGGTTATTGTTTATTTTCTGAAATTAGGCCTGCCTTTCCAGTATCATACAATTTTGTAGGACTTTGCATACAATTAAGGAATTGCTTTCAATGCTTTATGCTTGAGGCTTGCAGAGCCAGGAATGCAAAAGACTGCTCCTGTTCTCTTGGAGAATTCACTTACATGACACTGAAAAGTAGTTTTTTTTCCTTCCACCTCCAGCCTTTCCCTTTAAAACTCAAAGGAGATTTTGATTCTGAGGTAAATTATACCTCCTAAGTGTAGAGCACATTTATACTCATTAATAAAGGTGTCTGAAATGTTTCCACCAAACTGTTTTAAGCTGCAGCTGCTTTCAGGTTGTAGCTTTAAGGGGGAGAGCACAGGTTGCCAGTCCTGCTGTCAAAGTTGGCCCAGGAAGACAGAATCTCTTCTTTTCATAGCAATCAAGAAAAGTGATGTGAATAAGGTTGGCATTCTGTTGTAAAACTAGGAGCTGAAAGGTTAGTATATCTAAAAAAAGAACAGTTGTATGAGGATTTAGCATACATTCATTCCTGTGGCCAGAAGACCAGATCTGTAGAAAGATCTTTTCCCAAATTTAAGGGAATTCAAAGAGGAAAATGGTTTTGTGTGGAGTTTTTCCTCCTTTCCTCCTTTCTCCTTTTTCCCTTTTTTCTTCCTGTTCCCTCCCATCATTCTCTTTCCTCAGCTTTCCAAGTAGCTACAAGCACAGCACACCATGCCAGGTTACAGTGTTTTAAATAATAAAATGCTAATGTGAACTACAAATTAATTGTTAGATTAGTCTAACAAGGTTGCAGTAGGAAGCATTTGAATGACTGATTTTTGAGGACCTTTGGGGAGGGCCTGAGGCTTGATTTTTCAGCACTTACAAGGTTAAAACCACTTCTGTAGTAGTAGTATATTTGTCATTTGCACTTTGCCCCTTGTTCTTTTTCCCTTTTCCCTGTTGTGGCTGTTGGTTGTACTGTTTGTGCTGTTTATTGTAGAAGCACAGTTGTGATACAGTGTGTCTCACAGAGTCATTTTATTCCTCGTACCCTGTACTTACATTTTGTAAAAGCTAATTTCACTTGAGCGCATCCTTGATCAGGAAAAAAATATTAATTTTATTAAAGTTTGACTCTTCTTAGATGAGATAAAGGTGTGTATTGGGTCTTGCTTACTAGGCTGGTGTTCTGCGTTTGAGCCATACCTCCAGTCATATATTCTGCTGCTTATCTTGCAGATAAGAATCAGGTGGATTTTTTTGGGGGGAGTGGTGATATCCATTCTTTGGATCTCAGCCTCATTTGTAGTTAGGATTACAGGGATGAACCACCAGACCTGACTTTAAAATTTGACTCTTGAGCAAACACTTAAAAAATATGCTTTATGATGACATAGGAAGTATACATAGGTCATGTGGAGTATATTGTGAGATGGCTACTATGATAATGGCAGGCTAATCTAGTTTATGACTTAATCTAATCTAGCTTGCAATTCTATAAAATGTAATTTCTACTTGAAGGAACAAACTATAAGGCCATTAAGATTTAGGTATTTGGCAGATACTTTAAAACAAGGAAGGGAGTTGATAATAATCACAACTTAGAATTAGAAATGTTTAAAAATGTTATCTTTTATATCCATTGCCTCAATTGTGATTTGTGTGTGTGTGTGTGTGTGGGCGTGGGCGTGGGCGTGTGCGCGCGCGTGCATGTGTGCGCGCGCTCGCGTGCCTGCTCGCTCACACATGCACACATGCACGCATGTGCACACCAGTCCTGGGGCTTGAACTTATTTATGGCCTGGGTTCTGTCTCTTGAGATTTTGTGCTCAAGGCTAATGCTTTATTGCTTGAGTCACAGCTGCAGTCTTACGGTGGTTAATTTGTAAGAGTCTCGTGAAGTTTCCTGTCCTGGCTGGCTTTGAACTGTGTCCTCAGATCTCAGCCTCTTGAGTAGCTAGAGTTATGGGAATGAAAGAATTTTTAAAGACATGGTTTTTAAAGATATGTACTAGAATGTGTCAACATAGGAGAGATCTGCATAAAATGGGAAAGCAGTATTTTCTACTTGGCAAATGAATTTTAGGAACATATGCATGGATGAAGTCCACTCCAAATGCAATAGCAGATAATTGGATTTTGGTGGGTTTTAATCTTATAAAACGTAAAAATAACTGAAACTTTTAAATTCAGCATTGTACTGATTTTTAAAAAAAAATTCATGTCTCCAGCTCTTTTTGCTTTAGTTATTCCTCAAGTAAGGTCTTGTATTTATGACAGAGCTGGCCTGACCTTGATCTTTTTATTTCTGCCTCTCCTGTAGCTGCGTGGCAGGTATGTGATGACACACACCTGGTTGAAATGGGTTCTCGTTTTTTTTGGGCAACAAATTCCAAAAATCTTGAATGTTTAGACATGACTCTCTCTGTGTGCTGGTACTAAGGCTGAAATGCAGGGCCTCTCATTCTCCCTTAGGTTTTTCACCAAAGGCTAGCCCTCTACTACTTGAACCACACCTTCACTTTCCGGTTTTTGCTGGTTAGCTGGTGCTAAGTCTGAGATTTGTCTGAAGAATCTGGCTTTGAACTGCAGTCCTCTGATCTCAGATTCCTGAGCAGCTTGGATTACAGGCATGTGCCACTGCCTCAGAGGAGAGGACATTTGATGTGACAATTTCATTTTTAGGAATGTTTATTCATGACATAACTGAAGAAGTGCATGGACCTCTAGTAGGTTCTGTGATGCACATTTTGGCATGATTTGATATAGCAGTAAAAAAACTGCTTAAATATATGGAGATTTGCTACATTGATTGTGAATATTGAAAGTATTCATTATAAATTGTTTACATTGTATTGTTTAAATGGCAAAGGTAGTTCATAAAGTTATGAGGATTTTATAGCAGATAGGATGTTGCAGAAGGAGGTACACACATTAAACACCAACACTGTTTGTCTTAGAATGCTTAGTTTATGGGATATTTTTATTTGAGCGGTTTGATAGTATTTCCTGATTCACTTAAAAAGTAAAACAGAAACAAAACCCTAACAGCAATTGTGGAGTACATGTAAATGTTAGCATGGATTGACATTAAAATCAGATTTTCTAAGCCCTGTCATTTCTAGTGTAAAAGAAGGCTTTCATAATTTTTGATACTATGAAATTAACTATAATCTGTTTGTTACAGCTTGTATATGAATTTTTCATACGATTTTTGGAAAGCCAAGAATTCCAACCTAGCATTGCCAAAAAATACATAGACCAGAAATTTGTATTACAGGTAAGTACCCTCTTGTAGTTGTGTGTATGTAATTTACTTGTTACTGTCTCATTTTCTCTCTGATGTTTGTTTTTTGGACTTTTTTTTTAAGGTCTTACCAATCTTTTTTTTTTTTAATTAGTGAAAGGATAAAAATGAAGTACTTTTGCCAGGCGCTGGTGGCTCACGCCTGTAATCCTAGCTACTCAGGAGGCTGAGATCTGAGGATCAAGGTTCAAAGCCAGCCCGGGCAGGAGAGACCGTGAG